CCTGAAATTTTATTGGTTCCGGACCAGAAATTTTAGGGTCGGGGTCGATTTTCCTTGACATAAGGGTATCCGTTTTCGACACATTCTTTAAAATCATTTTTGACATTTCTTATTATAACAATCTTTCACATGTCGAAAGGACTACTCACCGAACAACAAGTTAACAAGGTGAATAAGTGATTCCTTCTAGATCATTGAATTTATGGATATTCGTAGAATTTTCGCCTTACAGTATACTTTTAAACGTGAAAATTATATACCGATTCAATGAGTAGCTCACTGCTCAACTAGCAAATATTAGACAGGTCAAGTTACGTACGAATCCACTAAAACCCACGCCATTTTCCTCACGTTTGATAAATGGTTTGTATTTAAAAATGCTTTTAATAATTTATCCACGATTGATTATATAGAAGAATCTTTTTGTATAAGGTTATACGACTAAATCATTTCACGAAGAACATAATTTTATAAACGCGCCTTTAAATTCTAGAGTTCTTCAGCTGCCTCAACTGGTGCGAGTTATTTCAAAATAGCAGTACACGAATCTTCATACAATAATTACTCATTTATATTTCATTACTATGAATAGCGCGACAATAATGACAAAGAATTAAAAATTGGTTCATTACCTTTACAATTGCAAGAATATGCCATTATAGAAGATTTATTATTTATAATGATGGTACGCGAAACAATCTGTTGGGCTATGTTGGTTGCAATGCCAAAAGCAATGAACTTGATTTCTCTATGAAAAATTTATATGATCGGAATAATTTTAGGGAATTGAGGGTAAATATATTGAAGCAAATTTATCTGAGGATTTTACTGAAGACGAACAACAATTGGATGGCGTTACTTATTCGGTGGATGGATCTTTAGGTTTATATTATTTGCTTAAGCCATTTATTTGTAAATATCTTTTCCGCATTTTAATGGTGGTAAAATTTATCAGATCCATCGTTAAAAGACTTAACCGAACGTATATTACCACTTGCAACATATTATACTTCCATAAACGCTTTCGTTGAGATGCATTCAAAATTCGAGTACGGATTTGTAAATCACGCATTATGTGCCGCAATGAGAGAATTATTAAAGGTGCATTATCTTCAGATATATTAT